TTTCCTTTTTTCAGGTGGAAGTTCTGGGGGTCTACAGTCTCTCAGCAGTCAGAGTACAGATGAAAATATCTCTGTAACTCAGAGTGCCAAACTTCTTGTGCATCCATACAGTTGTTCTCCTTCATCTGACAAGAGTATTTCAGATGCCACAAATCCTGCATCATGTATGCTGCGGTCATCACCAGTTCCTTCAGGTACAGCAAACACTGATTTAATTCCAAGACCCACAATAACTGTCCTAGTATCAGATATATATATGTATGAAATGGGAACTTTAACTATTGTTTATCTGTAAAATGAAAACAAAGCATTCTACAAATAACGCAAGTAATTCTGTCCTTGTAGCTTTACACTACAAAGTAAAACCAATGTAAAATGTGACCAAGTACATGTACCTGTAGCTACTACTTTTTTCATTCCTTTTAAGCAAACTTAATTCATGTTGCCATCAGTCTTCCTTATCCCATTCCATTTCCTCATATTATTTCTCCTCTCTCCTACTCCTGTAGCAATGCTGCAATCCAGCAGAACAAGAAAAAAAGTTAGTTTGAGCTTAAGTCATCTCGTTTCTTGTCACTTCTCATTTTTTAATCTTGTCAATCCTCCTCTTAGTAATTATGGGGCAAAGAGAAATGGCAGCTGTGTCAGCATCATTCCTTTAATGATTTTCTGTTAGCTGACAGCCCACTGCATTATATTCCTATGCATCAAATAACTGTTAAAAAGTGTGCTTCCAAAAAAAAATAACAAAAAGAAGCTTTAGTGCATGATGAATTATTCAGAGATTCATTTTTTTTAATGGGCCACACAATAGCGTGCAACTTTATAAAGATCTGCCACATCATCTCTCTCCTAGAAACAACAGAACCTGAAACCTTTTCACTATGTGAATCCTCAGCTTGAGGAAAATACACAGGAACGAAAAGGATGTTTTCAGTAAACTTCAATAAAAATCCCATTGCAAAGTGAAGTTCCCACCTTTCTCTTTTTAGTATCAGGTCGGGTTGAACATTGGAACAGGTTCCCACAGGGTCCACAGGGTAGACGTCCCATCACTTGAGACTGGACAAAAATTCAGCTGGACAAGGCACTGAGTAACCTGAGTTATCCTTGAAGTTATCCCCACTTTGAGCAGGCCATTAGACCAGAAGACCTCCTTGAGGGTTCCTTCTGACCTAAGTTATTCTGTGATTCAGATAAAATAAATACTTCAACCACCAAATTTGAAAAAATGGAACATTTTAAATGTGGATTATAATAGTGTAATGTCAAAAGCATGTTTAATAGTCTAGTGTGTTTCTGACCAAAAAAACAAGTGTTAAACAGTTCTTTCTCAGCTTTGTCTTTGTTCTATGGCACTATTTATTGACAGACAGTTACAATACTTCTTTTTTAATCCTCTCCAATCTCAGCTTTTGTTTTGGAAACCATACAACAGAATGTAGCTCATCAATGGATCCAAAGCAAAAGAGAAGAAATTATTGATCAGATGACTGAAGCATGTTTGAATCAGTCACTGGATGCTCTTCTAGCAAGATTTTTACTCATGAAAGAAGACTATGAACTTATAAGCACCAAACCTACAAGGACATCAAAAGTGCGACAACTGCTTGATACCTCAGATAGCCAAGGAGAGGAATTTGCCAGAATTATAATACAAAAGTTGAAAGATAACAAACAGCTAGGACTTCAACCTTATCCAGACATTGTTCCCAATTCCCTAAGACTGCATCTTTAAATTTATTTTCTATATGAAACCATGTGAATATTTCTTACAACATGATTCTTGTTTCTATGTAGTAGTTTTATATATGTACTGCTTTGTCTTTACTATGCCTTTGTAGAGTCTCAGAAATGACACTGAGTTCATCTAGACTGCATTTGGTGGGTTACCAGTTCATTAGTTGGAGTGCAGCCGTAATGCCAAACACTAGACACTTGTTGACTCAGTTCATAAAAGTATTTTGTTTATACATGACACAGAAAAAAAAAAAACATTAAATGTTCCCTGGTTTACATATTTTCTGTTTATAGATATTCTTTCCTTTCATCTCACAGGATTGAGATGACCCAACTCAGCCTGGAGTATTGGTTTTTCTCCCTGCACCTTGTCTTTCCAATAGAGGAGGAAAAAAACCTAGTTGCTGTATTTCAGGGCTTGTATGCTGTGTGTAGAGTAAATTTTCTTTCACCTGTATCGATTAGTCCTTCTCAGATAGCAGAGCGAGAGAAAGGTGGGAAGAAGATTACATTGCATTTTTATAGGGTTTTTTTTATTGTTTTGGTTTGGTTTTCTGTCCTGGGTTCAGCAGTAGCAGTCATTTTTCCCCTTCTTGGTAGCTGGTGCAGTGCAATGTTTTGACTTTCAGCTCGGGAACGGAGCTGATAACAAGCGATGTTTTGGTTTGGCCAAGGACTTTGTGAGCCTCATGCTCTGCCAGGGAGGAGGGGAAGCCAGGAGGAAGCAGAGACAGGACACCTGACCCAAACTGACCAAAGAGGTATTCCATACCACAGCACGTCATGCCCAGGATGTAACTGATAGTGGGCCGGAGGGGCTGGGAGACTGCGGGGTTGGAGGAGGTATCGGTAGGAGCTTGATGGGGCTGGGGGGGCGAGTTATCGGTTGGCTGGTGGTGAGATGATGTATTCTCTTCCCTTGTTATTTCCTTTATCATTATTATCATTGGTGGTAGCAGTAGTGATTTGTGTTATACCTTAGTTACTAAACTGTTCTTATCTCAACCCGTGGGAGCTGCATTCTTTTCGATTCTCCTCTCCGTCCCTCCGGGAGCAGGGGGAGGGCAAGAAAGGGGGGGAGTGAGTGAACGAGTTGCCTGACTGGGTTTAAACCACGACATTTTCCCATTTTGTTGCCAGGGCAAGCACTTCACACCACTGTGTAAGATTGTCAGTCCGAAGAGGAGCCCTAGGGCATCGTGCTGACCATCTTTGTTCTGCTATGAACTGATATATTAGAAAGAATGCAGCTGTAACCTTTTACATTATTTGGTTATAACCACTTCAACTCTTCTTGAAGTCATAGTAGGATGAGATCCCCATACATCTTATACAAAAGCACGCTTAGTTCATACCTCTTTTACATTTTCTTAGTTAATGCCTCCCTTATCTTTGTAAATACTTCTCATCTCATATTGCTGGATCAAACTTCTAATTCAATTTTATTTTTAGTACTTACATGATAAGCAGTAGTTTGGGTACATACAAAGATCAAGCATACACTGCCCTGCCAGGCTGGAAGTGATGTGAATGGGTCTAACCTGCCTAACCTCTGGACAACATCTCTGCCACCCGTTTTTGTCTGAAAGATGATGTTAACATGTTGATGCATAAATGGGGCCACCTGAGAGGAAAAGGTATGTGCTATTTATTTCAGGTCATTTCAGAAAGCTTTAGTGACTTTTACCCAGGTGGCTTCAAAACTAGTGAAAAAAAACAAAATGGAAAAACCAAAACCAGGTTTTAATTTATCAGAACACAGCATAGGTAAAATATTTCTAGCCAAAGCCCACTCAATAGAAGAGCTCAGTCCAATCTCCCTCTTCTTTCCTTGGACCCTGAACCTCCCTCCACAAAGGAGTAGAATCAATAAATCTGCCTTCTCCAACATGTTAGGCACACACATTTCTTCAAGAGTGAAATGGAGGAGGGGACAGCCACACTCGGGACTTGAGGGGCACAGAAGAAGGGGTAAGGAGGAAGCTTTGGGGTAGCCATGGAGAGGGGAGATGAAGGCTGTGTGCCTGATCAACACAGGGTGTGTGAAGGGTGTGTGGAGCTGACATACGAGCCAACACGTCAAAGTCTGATGCTTCTTCTGTTGTTTAACTCCAGTGCTATAAAAGAGGAACGGAATTTCTGTGTAACTGGAACACTCAGCACTGATTTTGACTGTGGCAAGTCCAGGGTCAGTGAGGACAGCCAGGCACAGTCATACAGTGCATGCACAACTCTGACAGGAAGCCCAAGTCTGGCATGTGCTGAAATCATGCCAGTTCTGTGGATGTGGCAGATGGGACCCTGGTCTGTGAGAGAAAGGCTTGCAAGCACTTGGGAAGGCTAATCTTTGAAAAGCTGGTTGGTTTCCCACACACACCTTCCAACACAAACAGTATTTTGTGCACTTGGGATTAATTGTAAGTGCATCTGTTATAGATGAGGACTGCAGGACCCTGTGCTGGCTGAGCTGCAAGATGCAGCCAGCAGTGGTAAGGAACAGGAGGGAGTGGAGGACTTGGCAGACATGCAGCTGAACTGTTCGCTGCATATGGAAAATGGTATGAATGAAGAGGGCTCTGGAAATAATTGAGGTACTCTTGTTTCCGGTGCAGAGTATGGAAAACCTTCCTGAACAGTTATGAACGTATAAGCAGTAAACCAGAAAATGTCACGTGCTTATTCAGGCAAGCATACCTCACTTTGCTGTTCCATAAGCAGATGCCTATTTGTGTAGCTGTAACACACAGAAGAATTGCTATGAGCAGTAAGCTGGCACAGGAGAATCATCACTGCAGAAGTGCTAGCCAAGTTCTGCAAGACTGTAAAAATGAATGAGAAGCATATGTTATAAAGGAAGTCATATTCACTTCTTTACGATATCCATCCTACATATGTAAAATGCAAGATAGGTATAATCAAGAAAGTTTTCATGCAGTCTGCATGCTTTGTGATTGCTCAGTGCTGTGTTATGTGCTGTTACTGTAAATCTGTGGGAAATGTCAAGCAGGACGTAACCACCAGGGTCAGACCAAAGTAATATTAATGAAGAAAACATTTTGGTTCACCTTCTAGCATGCAGCCTTTACAGAATTAAAACAAAGGGCTGAGGCTGGCTCTGTAGAAGGATATATGAAAAATATAAAGGTGCACTAAAGCTCTAAGAGGGGAAATATGTCTGAGGACAGCACAGCATAGCACACCATCAAAAAAACAGTTTCATGACCCAAATTGGAAACAGCACAAATTCAAGTTTGAATTTCAGAATGAAGGTAGTTATACTTCCTTGAAAATATGCATTCTAGTTTTTAGAATATAGTTTCTTAACACTGCCCTGACCAAAGAAAAAGATTTAAAAATGACAGAGATCCTGATTAAGGAACATTGTTCTCAGCCTCTCTGTTCTTCCAGCAGAGACCAGCAGCCCTGCAAAACAATTCTGTTGCCAAAATGTTCTTGATATATTATAAAGTACGTAACCACAGACTTGCAGGCAGCTGGAATTATGCAATCTTTTCAGGCAGACTTAAAGAGCTCTCAGGAATAAATAACCATCCTTCATAGATAAAACTAAAGCAATTTAGAAGCTATTTATTCAAAATACTTGTTGTACCTGTCTTTGAATAGTGTTTTGAAAAAGGGCAGCCATTTCTGTGTAAACATTAACTGTGGACCTGTCTCATTCTAGAAGGAAAGTGTGTTTTTACAAGATGTTACTTTAAAAGGAAGAAATAGGAGGAGCACTGACTTTCAGTAGAAAGACTTGGGCTGTTTCTATTATTCATTTGGGTCATTGAGGGTTACAGTATGGAACGCGCAATATGATGCAACTTTCCTGCTTGTTTTCAAGTTGGATTACTGAGGCTAACTGGAGGGATATTTGTGCTTGAATTTAATTGTTTCACTTTCCTACATGGATTAGTCGCCCATTCTGATGAAGTCCTGTTATCTGGTGCCTCTACTCAGTCCCGTGACTTAAGACTTGACTTGCTGGATCAGCTCCTTCCAGATGCTCTTTGACACATAAGTACAAATTTTTGCCCTACTATTTAGACTTGTCGTTCATGGAAGAGGAAAATCCCAGGTTAGTGCTCTTGAATTCATTAACTTTTTGCTCTGCCGAGAAAGCCTTATTTTCTGGATGTTTACTTGTTTTGGAAATACTGTGCTGTATACCGTACTGGCTTTCCAAAAGTACTTCATAGTAAGGGCACCACATTGTTTCAGAAGACAAAGCTGATTACGCTGGGTATGTAATTTCTTTCTTTGCTTATTTGTTATCATAAATACTAGTCTAAAGTTTATTTATTTAAAATAAGATCTTAAGACCAGATCAGCCTGGTTTGTATATTATTATGTCATAAATTAGAAAAGCCACAGATACATAATTCTCCAGTTCAGAAAAATAACTGAGTTGATAAATATTTAACAATAAGTAGATTAAATTTCAAAGAAAATTTATATTTTAAAAAAAGTAAACAAAAATATTGGGTTGTTTGAAATTAAATAATACCTGTGATTCTCAGTTAACTACCATTCTTTACTAGTCTCCCCAAGTGAAAATCTTTCTGTTTTGTCCAATTGCACCATGAGAATAGATGTGTTCTTTGTGTACAGTGTTAGTAAGAAGTCTCATTGTGACTTTTTAAATTAACAAGGAATTAGACAGCATTTGTTTCACATTAACATCTAGGAAAATGCTCTAGGTTTCAGTGATGCATAGATGAAAGATTTTTTTTTTCCAAAAAATTCCTTTTGTCTTATTTCTATCACACCTTTCTAAGGAAAATAGAGCAGTGGATATTTAAGCTGATGCTTCTTGCCTGCTAATGACCTCAGTCGAGGCTGTATGGAGAAACCGCATTCCAGGAGAGTCTGGGATCTTCTTTCTTGAAAGCTCTCATTGATTTTAGTATTCATGCTACCGCAATAAAAACAGCAACTAAAGGCAAGGCTAAACTGAAAGTGAGAGAAGAGGCTATTCGTGTTAGTCTTAATCCACCCACCCACCCTGGTGAAACAAATGTGTGCTTATTTAGAGCAGCAGCTAGACAGTCACTATTCTATTACAGTAGCCTTCCTGCTAAGGGAAGCAAGCATATCACCTACCCTCTGGTAAGCTGCTACCTTCTCTTTAAAATACTTTTCTTATATTTGGACTGCAGTAGCTTTTCTCTCAAATATCCTCTGTTTCTCCTAGGGGAAATCCATCCTCTGAGCACAGTAATGAAATTGGAGCATGTGAAGCGTTAATTCACTGAAAATTATCATAAACATAGAATTCAAAAACCAAAAGGAAATATGCTTGTTTCCTATTGAGTGGGATATGTTTTCTTCAGAGGAGATCAAAGTGGATTTTTTGTTGGTTTCATTATTGTTATTGCTAACAGTGTTTTATTTTATGCTGTTCCTTCATAATGTATAATTTGATTTGTTTGCTTTATCTCCCTTCTCACTGGAAAATGTTCAGCAGTATAATCTGCTGCTTTAAGACCTGTTGATGCTCATGCTAAGCATGTTTTGAAGACTACACATCATCTACACATTTTTGATTAATATAAATGTCCATAATTGGAGGAGTTTTTATTTTAAGTTAATCTGTTACATGTGGGAGAGAATTACCCAGAGTGTAAATGGAGAAAATAAGAGATTGCTCATGCCTTTAAAAATAGCTTTCTACACATATATTGCTTTCTAATATAAACATAATTAAAATATGCTAGGTTTTGTTTTTAAATGTCATCCTTATTGTCATTAATTTTCTAACTGAAACAAGAAAATATTAGGGCTTTACAGAATCACAGAATCACATACTGGTTTGTGTTGGAAAGGACCTTAAGATCATGAAGTTCCAACACCCCTGCCATGGGCGGGGACACCTCACACTAAATCATGTCACTCAAGGTTCTGTCCAACCTGGCCTTGAACACCGCCAGGCATGGAGCATTTGCAACTTCATCTTTTCTGGGGGTCAGGGCTTGGCCTTTCTGCTGCATCAAGCAAACCTAGGGTGTTCTCAGCATCTGATCTCCCTGTTGCCTACCTGCAATCATGGCCTCCAGTTATCACTTTTATTGCCTAGTTTGATTTGCTATGTTCATTGATGGCATAGCAGACTTTCGTTGTTAAACATTATGTGGCAGTAGACAATAATCACCTAAAGAAAGAGCCATGAAATTATCTGGAATAATATTAAGGTGTACGCTTGATGTCCAGCATGTTCCAGCATCTTTGATAGGAGATGACTTTTGAATGCCCTCAGTTTAGAAGGGAATCTGCTGAATAGAACAATATGTGTTATCTAAGAGAGATCCTCTGATTTATTTAGCAGTTTTCTTGAATTAAAAGCTGAGAATGTCACACTTCCATAACTCCTGGCCAAGCCTTGTAGAAACATTTAGCAAAGGTAATTACCTCCTAAAGAAGGAGGCAATCACTCATGAGGCTGTAAGTCCCTAAAGGATGGAAAGTGTCTGAGCAATCGTGCCCTAACAAACCAGTCCTGCACTAATTTATGGAAGAACTGGTTTTTATTTCAGCTCTGGTTTTCAACTACTATCAAGCTGTCCCTTCTTCCTTCACTTTTATGTGTGTTTTCTGGCAGTGGCTTGACTAAAAAATTAGCTATTGAGAATTACCTGTGTGTGGAGCAATTGTTTTCTTTAACTTCTCAGGTGTCGGTCTACAAGTTCCTTTCTGATGCTCTTTGTGCATACAGGTAGGAGGTAAACATAAGACTGCAAAGGATTTAGGGCCATTATGGCTGTTTGTGCTCTCAAGTCGTTCTGTTTTCTTGCTAAGACACTTTCCTGCATTAGTTAAGGGAACCCCTAAGGAAGAGCAGGACCTGAATGAAAACAGGGCTCTGAAGTTCTGTAGCAGAGAGCACTGGCTGACACAAGGCACAGGCAAGTGTTTGCAGCTGTTTTGTTTAGACTGCTGCAGCCTCTGAGGCACATCAGCATGTTGATGCCTATCTGAATCTCTGATTTCCAGAAAGCGGTAGCTCTTTCTGCTTGTCTCAGGCCAGGGGGACCAACAGAGCAAGGACCTTCCTTCATGTAGGAACCTTTTATGTCATTACCCTCAGACTTCATAGAGAAGAGCTACAAAAATCATAGAAAAATACCTGTACTTAATATTTTTGCTGCCATATTTTTTTTTATTTTTGCAGTAGAATTAGCCTCTAAGTACTCAAATATGCTAAAGCAGAATGCCAGGATGCAACAAACCTCCCTTTCTTAATTACTGCATAAATTAAGTTTTTCCATTCTCAGGAAGCCATTCTGCATTCCTGTCTGATAGAGGATTCACTGTAGGGATTTGTTACCTATCATAATACAGGATTTTCTAACCAAAAATGGCAACCCCCCTGCAAGAAGTCAGTTTGTTACAGCTCTGGTGGTTGTTCCCAGCACATAAGCCTTCCCAGACCTTAGCTCATACTGTCATTTGGATTACGTGCACCTTCAAAATGTGACCTACAGAGATGCCCAAGTGACAGAAACAGAGTCATGCTTGAACAGCTAGGCTTCTTAGTTTTTTTGGCAAACAAGCTCAAAGCAGGAGCAGCAGTGATGGCCCCAGAAAGAGGAGGTGGTAGTATGAGGATGAAGTGACAGTGATGACAGTAGGGCAGGACTACGGCCCAGGTTCATTAGAATCGGAACAGCAAAATGAAGGAACCATAGTGACAGAGATTAGGCATATCCTCAAATTGTTTGCATCACTGCCTGGATTGTAACAGCAGTAAATTTCTTACACATTACACAAAAAAAATCTTCTCCTTTTGCTATTATACAGGAAGACCTGTAGAGGAAACTGTTTAATCATAGAATCATAGAATGGTTTGGGTTGGAAGGGACTTTTAAAGATCATCTTGTTCCAGCGCCCCTGCCATGGGCAGGGACACCTTCCACTACACCAGGTTGCTCAAAGCCCCATCCAAATTGGCCTTGAACACTGCCAGGGATGGGGCAGCCACAGCTTCTCTGGGCAACCTGTGCCGGTGCCTCACTACCCCCACAGTAAAGAATTCCTTCCTAATACCCAATCTAAATCTCACCTCTTCCAGTTTAAAGCCATTCACCCTTGTCACTACATGCCCTTGTAAAAAGCCTCTCTCCAGCACTCTTTATGTAGGCCCGCTTTAGGTGCTGGAAGCTTCTATAAAGTTTCCCTGGAGCCTTTTCTCCAGGCTGAACATGCCCAAATCTCTCATCCTGTCTTCATAGGAGAGGTACTCCAGTCCTCTGATTGTTGCATGAAAACTTTGCTGAGAACTAGCATGATTCGTGCCTCAGTCAAATCTTATTTATTTAAGGAAGACATAGTCCTGAATGAGGAAATTAATAAAAGCTTCAACATTGTGACTCCACTGAACAAAATCAGTGCACTGTCAAAGCTAAGGGGAATATTGCTATTGGCTTGGTGGAGGGAGTGGGGAAAGGGGCAGCAAAGGGAGAGGCAGAAGCTGTTTGAAAGATTTTGTTCTCAGTTGCTACTTTCTTGCATATTTTCAGCAGATGTAAATTGGGCTAACATAACTACAGTGAAGTTACACATCTTGGTTCTGAAAACTGAATCTCTTATCCTTTGATTCTTAGGCCGTACCTATTCATGGACTTAATTCAGAGTTTGGTTAAAAGTGTTGCTAATGTGACATCCAACAAAGTATAGAAGTTTTAACTGTTTTTTCTTCTTTTTCTTTTTAAATGGTCTTATCCAGAGTCACTTATTTGTGAAAAATATTTCCTATAAGAGATCTGAAATAGAGAATAAAAAAATATGCAAAACACAGTGTTAAGACAATAATTTGAACTTTACCTTTGTACTCTCACGAAAGCTACAGATTGTGAAAGTTCTACTAGTTGTAAGTATCATTGCCACTTTAAATGCTCAAATTCCCTTTAGCTACCAGGTTATCCAACTAGACATCAAAGTTCAGGTTGGATATCACGTATGCAAGTTACCTCTACAAGTTACAACCTGTCAATTGCATTATGTATTTATGTATCCTACTTTACAGGAACATATATTTATCTAATTTGTCATTGAGACTTCATCTGAGGAAAAATGGTAGCCATTGGGTTTGATCACTACTGGCATAGCTTCACATTCACATTCCCTCCAGAACTGCTGCATTTTAAATTCTCACTCCCTTTGAGCAGTACCCACCTAAATATTTGTGCATCCTGGCTCAGAGACAAAGCTCTGAATACCCACATTAAAAATAAAATAAAAAATTTAAATATCCCAGATGAGGCACAAAAAGCATGAGGTAATTTTAAACTAGCCCAGCTGCCCAAGGAGTATTAATACAGAGTTCTGCCCAAGTTTCCAGCATGCTGTGTCCTGATAGGCTGTCTGAACACCTACAATCACCAGAGGGTGTTTCTGCCAACATTTCACATAGCCATGAAAAGCAGAAACAGAGCCAGGAGGTTCTGGAAATAGTAGCTCCTATAATTCCTCCCTCCCAGACCAAGGTGACATATTTTTTCTTAAAGGGACAAAGTGAGACGTAAAAGGAGCCACCTGTGTGTGGCATCCATCAGCAAAACACGGGAGACTCACTAATCACACTTGAACACCTCTGGCAAATTAATATTTAACTTTACTACCATGTTCCCACAGTGCTCCTGTGGTTAGAGAAAGTGCCATTGGAATGAGAAAAGCGTTTAATCTTTAAAGATAGTTTGACATCTTTTAATCTTTAATTCTCATCACACTTCCTTAGTTATTTGATCAACTAGGAAACTGAGTTGCCCCAAAAAAAAGCTGGAAAAGAGCCCATGTAATTATAAATTATCCAGGATTGCTGAACCAGACATATTTTATGAAGGAAAGCAAACCTTTCAGAAAGTTTGGGGAGGGGAGGTTGTTCATTTTAAACTCACCATTGACACATGTTTTAACAACATAAATTTGTGACCAGATGTTTTTGGCCAGTGTTGCATGGAGGAGCTTTGATCTACTGAGAGAACTTGGCTTTAATTCATAGGATTTTGAGGAAGTTTTTTTGGAAGTATGTGGAGTGTATGTGGAGCTAGAGAAGAAAAGGAGAAATAAATTTCTTTTGAGACAGGCCCCAGAAAAATTCTTTGTTCTAACTAAGCACCATTATGAGTCAGCAGGACCCAAGAACCGAGACAGTCACTGCAGTCGTGGCAGTCACATTTCCCTTCCCCATTCCTAAGTACCTCAGCCCCACAGGGTGTGATGTGTGCACAAGGCTGATTTATCCATGCAGCTAGGCAGTTACATTGTTTTTCCCAGCTCCCAGCATAATTGGATCCTGCCATGCAAGCACCAGAGTGGGAAGCTTTTACAGTTGTGTTTGCAGGACTCTTACACAAAAGTGTTCCAAGGACAGAGTGTTCAGAACTCAATCCCTATGCATGCTAGTGGCTCCTACCCAGAGGTCAAGTGAGATTAATAATCAACATGCATAATTCACTGCAGCAGCAATGTCATCTCTAGGAACAGCCACAACTCTTTTCTTTATAGAGTCACAGAATTATAGCCCTAAAGGGCAGGGGGGGCCAAGACTGTTGGTTGATATTCAAACATCACCTGCTACAAACTCAGGAGTGTTGTCTCCTGACTAGAAGGAAGTACAGCAGGAGGACCAGGAGACCTTCATAGATGGATAAGGAGCTGCTGAGGAAACTCAGAGGAAAAAAAGAGGCTTATAAAAGGTGGAAGCAAGGACAGGTGGCCTGGGAAGAGTACAGGGATGTTGTCTGGGAAGCTAGGGAAGCTAAGGCCCAGTTAGAGTTAAACTTGGCTACGGATGTGAAAGATAACAGGAAGGGATTCTATAGGTACATTGCAAATAAAAGACAGACTACGGACAACATGGGCCCCCTCAGGAAGCTCTCAGGAGAACTGGCTACCCTGGATTTGGAGAAGGCTGAGGTTCTGAATGACTTCTTTGCCTCTGTCTTCACTGGCAAATGCTCTGACCAAACCACCCAAGTCTTGGAAGGCAGGCGCAGGGCTGTGAGAATGAAGACCCTAGGCCCACTGTAGGAGAGGATCTGGTTCGAGACCATATTAAGAATCTGAATGTACACAAGTACATGGGACCTGATGAAATCCATCCATGGGTAACGAAGGAGCTGGCGAAGGAAGTTGCTGATCCACTGTCCATCATATTTGAAAAATCATGGCAGTCAGGTGAAGATCCCGACGACTGGAAAAAGGGAAATATAACCCCCATTTTCAAGAAGGGGAAAATGGATGACCCAGGGAATTACAGACCAGTCAGTCTCACCTCTGTGCCTGGCAAAATCTTGGAGCAGATTCTCCTGCCAGGCATGCTAAGGCACATGAAAAACAACAAGGTGGTTGGTGACAGCCAGCATGGCTTCACTAAGGGGAAATCCTGCCTGACCAATCTGGTGGCCTTCTATGATGGGGCTATGGAACTGATGGACAGGGGTAGAGCACTGGATGTCATCTACCTGGACTTGTGCAAAGCATTCGACACTGTCCCACATGATATCCTTGTCTCTAAATTGGAGAGACATCAATTTGATAGGCGGACCACTTGGTGGATAAAGAACTGGCTGGATGGCTGCACACAAAGAGTTGCGGTCAATGGCTCAATGTCCATCTGGAGACCAGTAACAAGTGGTGTCCCTCAGGGATCTGTGTTGGGACCGGTCTTGTTGACATCTTTCTCAGCGACATGGACAGTGGGATTGAGTGCGCCCTCAGCAAGTTTGCTGATGACACCAAGCTGTGTGGTTCGGTTGATACGCTGGAGGGAAGGAATGCCATCCAGAGGGACCTTGACACACTTGTGAGGTGGGCAGGTGCCAACCTCATGAAGTTTAACCATGCCAAGTGCAAGGTCCTACACCTGGGTTGGAGCAATCCCAGGCACAGCTACAGGTTGGGCAGAGAAGAGATTCAGAGCAGCCCTGCAGAGAAGGACTTGGGGGTGTTGGTCAATGAGAAAATGAACATGAGCCGGCTTCAGTGTGAGCTCACAGCCCATAAAGCCAACCGTATCCTGAGCTCCATCAAGAGCAGTGGGACCAGCAGGTCGAAGGAGGTGATCCTGCCCCTCTACTCTGCTCTTGTGAGACCTCACCTGGAGTATTGTGTGCACTTCTGGTGTCCTCAACATGAAAAGGACATGGAGCTGTTGGAACAAGTCCAGAGAAGAGCCACGAGGATGATCAGGGGACTGGAGCACCTCCTGTATGAAGACAGGCTGAGAAAGTTGGGGCTGTTCAGCCTGGAGAAGAGAAGGCTGTGTGGAGACCTCATAGCAGCCTTCCAGTATCTGAAGGGGGCCTATAGGGATGCTGGGGAGGGACTCTTCATTAGAGACTGTAGTGATAGGACAAGGGGCAACGGTTAAAACTTAAACAGGGGAAGTTTAGATTGGATATAAGGAAGAAGTTCTTTGCTGTGAGGTTGGTGAGGCGCTGGAATGGGTTGCCCAAGGAAGTTGTGAATGCTCCATCCCTGGTGGTGTTCAAGGCCAGGTTGGACAGAGCCTTGGGTGACATGGTTTAGTGTGAGGTGTCCCTGCCCATGGCAGGGAGGTTGGAACTGGATGATCTTAAGGTCCTTTCCAACCTTAACTATTCTATGATTCCATGGTTTGGGTTAGAAAGAACCTTATGATCATCTAGTTCCAACCCTCTGCCATGGGCAGGGATACCTCACACTAGACCAGGTTGACCAAGCCTGTGTCCAAACTAGCCTTGAAGACTGCCAGGCATGGAACATTCTCCACTTCTTCAGGCAGCCTGTTCCAGTGCCTCACCACCCTCGTAGTAACAACCTTTTTCCTTGCATTTAACCTGAACTTCCCTTGTTTAAGTTTTAACCCATTGCCCCTTGTCCTATCACTACAGTCCGTGATGAAGAGTCCCTCTCTGGCATCCCTGTAGGCTCCCTTCAGATACTGGAAGGCAGTGTATCAACCAACTCACACAGCTTGACATTAGGAATTTCACCTGACGGCCATGATTTTTCAAATATGATGGACAGTGGCTTAGGAACTTCACCCTTCCGCTCCCTCAGGACCTGCAAATGGATTTTATCATTTTATCCTCATATTAATGCTATCCTCCTGAGGCTAGAGCTCTTTAGTACCTTTTTCTCTCTTTTCTCTTGTGTTCCTCAGCAGATAATTTTCAGATGGGTGTTGTTTGATGAAAGAGATAAAAATGAAATAAAGTTCTTCCTGGGATGAGACGACGCCGTAGGGGACACTCCAGCTTTATTAGAACATGCTTCCAGGGTTACAGTGTGTCCTTATGCCCCAAGATAAAACTTCAGTAGTGTAAGGTAGAATTACAATTCAAGGTAAACAGTGAAAGTGAACTGAGAGTTCATGAAGCTTCAGGATCTATAATCAAGGACAATTAGCCTTTCAAAAGGTACAGAACAATGAAAGTTAAGTAAATTCACTAGTATGTGGCTCCTGGACTGCAAAATAAAAGCAGGCAAAACAATTATTCTTTGTACTTTTTCTGCCTTGCAAGCTAATTATCTCATCCGTGTGCATTACAAAAGATGTTCTCTCCTCTTGTTTTCAGGTAATGATAATTGAGGATGCCAGCCCCTTGGCAAATGTGCTGCAATAAGAAATCCAAAACTAAGCATGGAAGAGCTGAAATGGACAGCATGGAAGAGACAAGTGAAAAAATGCAGATGAAAAAAGAAATCACATTGCTAAATGGAGTCTCTTTAATTGTAGGGAACATGATTGGCTCTGGGATATTTGTGTCACCCAGAGGTGTTCTAATGTACAGTGCTTCCTATGGACTCTCTCTAGTCATCTGGGCGCTTGGTGGGATATTTTCACTATTCGGAGCTTTGTGTTATGCTGAATTGGGAACATCCATCGTTAAATCTGGAGCCAGTTATGCCTATATTTTGGAAGCATTTGGTGGCTTTGTGGCCTTCATCAGACTCTGGTCTTCCTTGCTAATTATTGAACCAACAACTCAGGCAGTGATAGCAATCACGTTTGCCAACTATATTGTTCAACCAATTTTTCCTCATTGTGAGCCACCATATGATGCAGTCAGGTTGATTGCAGCTGCTTGTATATGTAAGTAAAGTTATGATTCCTAGAAGTTAAGAGCTATAATTGTAGGTACTCAGAGATACTCAGGGAGATTTTTCTGAATTTCTTCACCTGCTATTATGGAAAATAATTATTGCCCCTCTAAAACACATTCCTAGGAGCTAATAATCTTTTATTCACACAGATTGTATTTGGAGCTGTGATTACGAGAGGAGAGAGGAGAATTACAACAATTTGGCTGGGGAAAACTATGACTGCTGATTAAAGATACATATATCTCTATGGATCATTGGCCTAATTGGCAGCCCACATTTGGTCCATGCTCTCCTGTTGTGATTTCTTGCAAATCACAAAAAATGAACAAAAAAAATCATAAAATTCATATGGAATTAAAAATACTCTGCCTAATATGAGTGTTGTCTCTAGAGAAATTGTGTAGTTTAATCAGACACTCCACAAAGTTGACTTTATCGCGACTGTATGTTTTAGGTGAACACAGGGATAACCATTACAAATATGTCCCCTAGTAGATGGACTGCACTCAAAGTATTTTCCTTATAAATATGGATTTGTCAAGCTAGGATATGAGTTCCTTTAAGGCTGTGCTTAAAAATGGCTTAAACTGTACAACACAGCAAAAACTTCCAAAAGGGTAAGTAATTTTCCATGGAGGCAGTACTCCAGGTGGGGTCTCATGAAAGCAGAGTAGAGGGGCAGAGTCACCTCACTTGACCTGCTGGTCACACTCCTTTTGATGCAGCCCAGGGTACATTGGCTTTCTAGGTTGTGAGTGCACATTGCTGGCTCATGTCCAGCTCCTCATCTGCCACACTGGCTGTCGCAAATCACCTCCCCATCCTTCATGTGCCTTAGCATAGCTTCCAGGAGGGTCTGTTCCATGATCTCCCCGGGCACAGAGGAGAGTCTGACAGGTTGGTAGCTCCCAGGGTCCTTTACCTTCTTACCCTTTTCACAAGCGGGTGCATATGCTCCTCTCATGCATATTCTTTTTCTCTGCAGGTTCCTTAACATTTATTAATTGTGTCAATGTAAAGTGGGGAACCCGTGTACAAGATGTTTTCACTTACGCAAAAGTTATGGCCCTTTTCTTGGTGATATCTGTTGGCCTTTACAAAATTGGTAAAGGTAAGAATCATTTTAATTTACTTAAATTCTTTAAAATGAACTGTATATGAGTTTCAAAATCAGTGCAGGAAGAGCAGACTCATTCACACTTACGTAATCAAATGTTGGGGTTTTTTTTCTGGAAAAAAAAAGCCCTGCCTGTCATAGGAAGATTACAGAAATGTTTTGGCTTGTTAAGCAATGAGGTGTTAATTTTTATTCTATCCTTTGCATGGATGGAAGACCACATACCAAGTTCTGCATTGCTCGAGTTAAGTAGCAAATAGCAGCTGAATTAACATCAGTTTAGTGCTAACTAGTTTAAAGTCAGCCTCGGTGTCTCTGACTCGTGCTGATTAAGGGCTAGTGTTGCTACTTGTCTTATGACAGAAAAACACAGCAGAAGTTGCCAGACACATCCTTTCCATTTCTCCTCTCACCACAGCCCCTGGTGCACCCATGGCAGAGAGGCACTGCAGCAGCCTGCAAGGGGAGATCATAAGGAAGGCAGGCACATGTCCTTGCCTTCGTTGGTGAAGAGATGTGCATGTTTCTAGAAACTAGGGAGAAGCCTGTGATATGAATCATTGTGGTATTGTAAGACATCACAGGACAGATGAGCCACTTCATATCAGCCGTAACTGCACTGAGCTGAATAAACTGAAACGCTTGAGAATAGTTTATTCCTGTGCTACCTCTGATCTTTGCATATGACACTAGATTTGCTTTTATTGATTTGGGCCTCTGGTACAGGGAAGTCTCTTCCAACTCCAGCTCTCTTGTTCAGCTACTAAGGTTTTTTCATTCTCCTTTCCCATGAAATTGCCAAATAGCCACTCCATTCAATTGAAATAAGGATGGTTGCCCTCTTCACATCAGGAATTGTCTTTTGCTACTGATGAAACTAGCTTATAAAGCTTTATAAGCATGCTTACTTTTCCATGTTTGCTGTCTTTCTCCTTTACTTAGCTGCAGTTGCATTAGCTGTTATGCTTTAATGCTTCAACAGCTTTTAAGACAGCTTTTTTGTTTAGCCATTATCTGTGCATGTCAGTTGTCACCAGTTTGTTCAAGTCTAAAGACACCCAAACAAATGAACTCAGTCCTAAAGGCATGAAGATGCACAGTTCCATGAAGGAGTAGTTTCCCTCATGAAGCTGCTGCAGTTTTACAAAGGTGTGAGCCCATGATGTCCTGTCCCCACAGTCATAAATTTACCTATGCTTCCAAATTGTGTCCTTCAAAACTTCCAGCCTGCTAGCTGGCATGCAGCCGCCAGGATGCAGCTTGGCCAAGGGGCCATTCCCTCTGCTCCTGCATCCATACAGCCCACACTAGCTCCTTCACATTGCTTCATGCGATCAGGGAGGGTAAAGGCAGAGAGGAAACATTACTCTGAGGAACACAAAATGCTGAGGGTTTTTACTGGTAGTCAAGGTCTCATCTCTGCTTTCTTTAAGCAGAACAGAGCACTTAAATACAGAAAGGACTGGAAAGAGGAATGATGTAGACTTCTGGAGGAAGCTGTGATCAGGTCAATGCACTCTGAAACTCAGCAGCTTTTTTAAAGAAAAGAACAGTTACGACATTTTGCCATGACATATTCCTTCTGCTGTGCTCAGTTACACCTCTTGTTTTAAAACATTGAATATTTATACTGAATGTATCTGATGTTGAATATGAACTGTCTTTAGTGAAAAAAAAACAAATAAACAGTTTTCTTGGTCCTTTTGGATTTTTTTTTCTTCCAACTATTTTCTCCTGCAAAGTGTGTGTACATCTTCACCTTCCTCGGTTTGAGCAGTCTCCTTGTAGTTACTGCTTTTCAAAGACTGAATTGCTTTCATGGTATCTAGAACCTCCCTAGTTTAACCACAAAGTGAAGTTGTTTCATTTTACAACAAAGACCTTACTTTCTTCCTTAATATAGGTTTAAGCATGTTTCTGTGTTTCTTAATATTTAACTCACTTTCAGTTACATTAGATAGTTGATTTTCCTTCTTGCAAACTCAGTAAAGCCTTTCCTCCCCTTTCCAGAATCACAGTGAAGGCTCACACAGATTCATTGACATTTTGTCTATTTTGCAGCAGGTTTTCATCTCAACCAATTGAGCTAAACTAGAGGAGAATTTTGAAAGGAAATCAAGTCTCCTACCTTTATTTTTATAAGCACCTTTGTGGGACAGAGCATGCCATTGAGAACTATGCCTTCAGGATATGAGCACAGATATGAGAAAGTAATATGACAGATTCAGGAGCCGAAACTGGGTTTCCAGGAGTGCCTCTGCCTGGCTGACAGGGCATAGCATGACTTCAATATGGCTCCCCCCTTCTGTAGGTTAGACAGTGATGCCAGGAGATGAGCGCACGCTGAGTTCTGGTAGAATTATCCAAATATTAAAACATGGGAAAATATCCTCTGCTGTCTTCCTGTGCAAGAGCAGCTGTCTGACAGTCTGACTGAAAATTTCCTACATGTCAAGTGAAAATACAAGCTGTGCCCTTTTACAAATAGTAATGAAGCCTGGATGAAGTGGGCTTTTATTTCCTTTTGGTTAGCTGAGACTTTTACTGGAGCATCCTTCTATATCATAATCCTTGAAATCTAAGAGGCACCTGTCATTTGCACAGGAGAAACAGAAAACCTGAGAGCCCCATTCGAGGGCTCGGCAACAAACCCAGGGATGATTGCTCTGGCTCTCCACTCTGCCCTCTTCTCCTACTCAGGATGGGACACACTCAACTACGTCACTGAGGAAATGCAGAATCCTGAGAGGTAAAAGCATGCTTTTCCTTTGTATTGCTGAAGTGTCCTGGTAAGACAGGTGAGATGGCAGGACCAGCTGCTCTCTATTTGTTTCTGAGTGGAAATTTCTCAAACTATTTTCTCTATAAAAACCTTCTCCTTTTGAAAAGAAGTACAAGAACACTTTCTGATTACTTCCTCACTTACCAGCTATACCACACTAATAAATCACTTGTCTGCATATATGTATTTTACACCCCATACTTCAGATGGCAATTTTTAAAGAGAACAAATCCCTTTGAAAAGCAGAGAAAATCATGGATCCATCCAGCCCCATGAAATTCCCTACTTCTTTTCAGTCAGACAGAACAATTATTTTTCCAGGACTGGTTTTGCCACCAATAGAGTAAGCCTCTGTCCGTTTTATGTCTCTTTTATGATGTGATCTTCATCATTACTGTTTGTGGGCAAAATGTTTAATTTTGCTAAGTATGAAAGGTTAAGTAAAAAGGAAGTCCACAAGTAGCACTGGAAATATCTCTGCCCCTCAAGTATGCATTTAAATCTCATTGCTTAAGTGCGGTCTTAAATTGCTTCATATGCAATTTAAAGGTATAAATATACTTTTCTTTCTCTGAAACTTGTGACAGACCCACAGCAGCTAACTATGTTGCTTATGGAATTGTTCCACACATGGCTGCACATTATTTTGTAACCCCATGATTACAAGCTGATGTAGTACAAAAAGTTATGGAGGTATCCATTCACAAATATTTGAATTTGGGAACAATTTTACTTAAATAATCTTTATTTAAAGAATAAGAAATAATTTTACCACTTTCCTTTTGCAGGAATCTACCTCTTTCTATTGCAATTTCAATGCCTATTGTGACTGTTATTTATTTGTTGACTAACATAGCATACTACATAGTGTTGGACATGTCAGCTCTCCTCACAAGTGATGCAGTGGCTGTGGTAAGTTATATAAAATAATTAAGAAAGTTACTGTATGGATGACACTGCATAAAAACCTCAGGTAGCTCACTTCTTGGCAAAACTATTGAAATATTTCTATGCTGAAGATTATTGCTTTGTTTTAAACTTCATTTTCATGTAAGAGTACCAGTATATTGGCAGGGGCATGTAAAGATAAGTCTGCTCTTGTAAAAAACCTCTTGTATACTCTGCAAATTCTGCTCCTAACAGTACTTCATTGTAGAAGACGCTTTGCTAAGGCCAGAGAGGGAAAGAGCTATGCAAAGTCTGGGTGGTTTTGCTATCATTCTAATGTATAGTGTGTGATGTTTCATGCTGCAAGATCACAGCAATATTTTCAACACAAAAAGGTGCAATGAAATGCTTTTTAAAACCTTACCAATATTTTATACAAAAGTACAGTTATAACTCATGGATTACTACAGCCATTATTTGTCAGAATAGGTTAAAGCAAATACATTTTCTTCTATTACATCATTGACTTGATCTGGGCTTAGAAATGTTGGGGGGTTTAAATCCTTTTTTAATACATCTGCCATTTCTATCTTGATACTGATCAGGTTTTCCAAATTCTAATTTCCCAAGCCATTATTGGGTGTCATAAGAAAGGATGGACTATGACACAGTATTTGGTGTGGTGTGTTTTCATGAGAGTATTTTAGTATTGCCCATATGCTTAATATGAGAGGCCTCACTATTATTTCCTTTTTCTGTTTACAGACATTTGGTGGTGAAACCCTTAGTTATGCTAAGTGGATAATTCCTATAGCAGTGGCCATGTCTTGCTATAGTGGCTTAAACTCATCAATAATTGCAGCATCTAGGTATGAAATACAAGATTTATTTTAACTAATTGAAAAGGAATCATTTATTATTAATCTGCATTCTTTACTACACAGTAGAGTGTAAAAATAACAATTTTTGCCATGTCAAGTAGTTAATTTATGATGGAAGGATTGTTACAATCTGATACGTCTTCTCATGGTCAGCACCAACTGATAAACTAAAGCCACTTGAGAACAGCATTTACAACAGATTAATAAAAGAATGAATGCTGCCTTTGTCAGAAAGCAACACTGTCTGGTTAAGCTTGCTTTCTTTTTTTTTAGGCTATTTTATGTTGGGGCCAGAGAAGGACACCTCCCTGACAGTCTGAGCTTGATTCACGTAAAGTGCTTCACACCAGTCCCTGCTCTCCTCTTCAATGTAAGTGACAGCCCAGACCTGTGCCTGGCTGGGGCAGCCAGACATTCGGACACAGGGAGTATAACACCACCTCTCTTCCTGGGCTTCTCCTGCACTGGAGACACCTTCCTCAAATGCCCACAGTATCTAAAGCTCACTGAGGGTGGTAGCAGTGGTGGTATTTTATCTGGCAGGGGTTTTCCAGTGGAAACTGAACAGCTTGATTTACATTCATATGCTCTCTGAACAAGATTAGTGAGGAGGAAGTACAATAGCATTACTTAGAAAACAAAGGCTAGATATATAACAGTAAGCACATGAGTTGTATAAGCCTTTATGTGAGTTTTCAGTGCCTCTGGAGAAGAATATGACAGGAATATCTCTCAGACCCTGCCATAGGCTGGTTTTCTAGAACTCTTGTTACAACAGGAGTGACAATGTACTTAAAATTAAATTCCTGTTGTCAGATACCTGTAGCTATATTGACATTTTTCCTGCTGTCACTATACAATAAATTACACCAAATTGAGGAATAATAAGGTATAGAATTACTGCAAATTATTTTAATAAATGGTTCATAAATCTAGCAGATTAAAATAAGGGGGATGATGTGTGCAAACAGAGAAGGTAGAATCATTTCAAAGCATTTCACTGCTGTTTATTTGAACATATATATTATTTGGTGTCTTTTGTTGCCCTCTGTTACATATGGCTAATGAATACATTACCATACCAGTCCTATTTGACAACACATAATTTAGTAAAAGTTTCAATCTCATAGTCTGGGGCTCCTCATCCAGCCTTCTTAGGAGGGTTTTCTGTTGATGCTGAAACGTAACAAACCTGATACCTCTTCAGCCAAATGTGGTGGTGTCACTGCTGTGTTTAAAGAGAGATACCAGCATGTTTCACACAGAATATTTGCAGATTTCTGAGTTTTAAGTACAAGGACTTGATATCCTATGTCCAGAAAAATATGTTGGAAACAGCCCTTTAATAACTTTACTACATCCTTATTTTCACATTAAAAAGTCTTTGTTTTTATTATCTCTAGGGCTTAATGACTTTGATTTATCTCCTTGTGGAAGATGTTTTCCTCCTCATTAATTACTACTGCTTCAACTACTGGCTTTTTGTGGGTCTGTCTATTGCAGGACTAATATATTTGAGATACACTCAGCCACATCGAACCCGGCCTATCAAAGTAAGTAAACAAGAGAGGAAACAAGCCCTAAAAGCCAGTTAATGCACATGTTTATGTGACCTATAATACCACAACTATAACATTGCCAGTTCAGTTACAGACAATTTATCAGCCATAAAAATTCTTTCAACATAGAAGATAAGAAATGAAGGAGAAACCCCATTTGAGTTTCCAGAAGAACATCTGTTCTGGTACTTTTGCTGTGTGGTTGAAATGATATTTGCCATTTCCTTTTCCTTTCATTCAACCTCACAACTATCTTTATGTCAAAATAAATAAGGCCTGGGGTTCTTTGCCCATCCTGAAACAACCCCCTTTTGTATTGCTCATAGAGGAACTCAGTAGAGCTATTGATGTGGGCTCTAGAGAGGTTAACACTGATCAAAATTACATGACTTAACAAATTTATCAAAATCCAAAGCCCATAAATGCCCAAATTTCTGCTCATGCAAAAGTTCAAAAGCTTGAATAATCAAATATATTTTGATTGTTCCCTACCCCTGCGTAGTGGTCATAGACAGTAAAATGCAAATTTTATGACTGAGTGTAGAAGAGCACCTGGCACAGAAACAAAGTGTGCCTAAAACTTGTTTCTAGTTCTAATACAGTGATTGTCCAGGAAGCAGGGAGGGAAATGCACAGCTTCCCCCAGGCACACAAAATCACATGCTGGCTTCCATTTCACTGCACTCTGTTGGCTCCATGACCTGCATTTCGATGCAGCAGTGATGCACCAAAACTTATGAGAAATCCAAATTAATATGCAATCTAAACATTTCTTCCTTGCCACTCTCACTTCCAAACCTTGGGAATCATTATTACCAACACATTTTTTTTTCCATTTAAGTGTAGCATCCTGATTATAAAAAACCCACATGGTTCACAGGCATAAAATATCCTAAGCACCTACTGCTACAAGCTTCCAGTCTTCCAGAGCAGACCAAATTTTCCTGAAGCATGTTCATATTTCATTTCCCAACTCTCCCCCAATATATGGTTAAGATAGAGGTTAAATCTTGCTTTACTGGCAGTTTTACTACTGACTCTACTAAGGCAAGGATTACAGTCAGATTATAGACAATGAATGTTTAATTCCTATCAGCATTTGCCAGCTTAGTCCACGTCCCAACTCCGCATACACCTTTTGCTTTTCTGAAGCATAGCAGTTGGTTTTCATTGACTTATATTTTTAACCTGTATAAGGAAAAAGAGTTATTTATACCATTAAACACTCAAGAGTTTCAGCTAGTGTTCAAATGTCAACTCCTGGACTCTTGAGAAGGCTCATTACTACAGGCAATGAAAAGTATTTCAGTGCAAAGCAAATCCATAGAGGTTATTGCAACTTTCCTTACTTGTGGTATGATATTTGTTAAGTGCCCAGGAGAAATGGTTGTAAATCAGTCCATTAGTTCTGTAGCATCAACATGCCAATACTGATAAAATAAAAACCAATAAAAATTACAATTAAAGATTTGCAATTGAAGTTAGAGGGAAAACTACCCATTACTGCTCAGTTTTAAAACACTGCTTTCAAAGATCAGTCTCTCACTAATTGGAAAGAAATTCAGCTTGTGCAGGCCTGAAAGCAACAAAATGGTCAGATACCCAGGGGTGTACCAAGTAAGATGCTCTCAGCACCATACACATAAGCTTGCAAATTGTACTGACTGTAGGCAATAAAAATTTCAGTACATAATACAGTCAATAGCTATATTTTTATTATTGACATGTCTAATCTGCAAAACCTAACATGTTTACTGCATCTTTTAATGAATGTTGGATTTTTTTATTTATTTTTTTTTTTTGTCTCCACAGCTTAGCCTCTTTTTCCCCATAGTATACTGTTTATGTTCCCTTTTCCTGGTCATAGTTCCTCTCTACAGTGACACAATCAGTTCCCTTATTGGCATTGGTATTGCCCTCTCAGGCGTTCCTGCATATTATTTAGGAGTCTATCTGCCAGTTGAAAAACGACCTAAATGTCTACAGTGGCTCTCTGGTAAGCAACACAGAATCATAGCATGGTTTGGGTTGGGAGGGACCTTAAAGATCATCTAGTTCCAACCCCTCTGTGTCTAAGGACACCCTCCACTAGACCAGGTTGCTCAAAGCCCCATCCAACCTGGCCTTGAACACTGCCAGAGATGGGGCATCCACAGCTTCTCTGGGCAACCTGTGCCAGTGCTCACCACCCTCACCGAGAACAATTTCTTCATAATATCTAAATTTAATACATCCTCTTTCAGTTTAAAGACACTCCCCCTTTTCTTATTCCTACATGCCCTTGCAAAAAGTCCCTCTGCAGATTTCTTGTAGCCCCCCTCTAGGTACTGGAAGCTGCTATAACGTTTCCCTGGAACCTTCTCTTCTCCAGACTGAACAAGCTCAGCTCTCGCAGCCTGTTTTCACAGGAGAGGTGCTCCAGCTCTCTCATCATCTTCATCACCCTCCTCTGCACTCACTCAAGCAGGTCCATGTCTGTCTTGTGTTGAGGACACCAGAACTGTACACAGTACTCCACAGGGTCTCTCAAGGAGCAGAATAGATGGGCAGGATCACCTCCTTTGACCTGCTGGTCACGCTTCTTTTGATGCAACCCAGGACATGGTTGGCTTTCTGGGCTGCAAGTATACTTAATGGGTCAGGTTCAGTTTCTCATCAGTGAACACCTTCAAGTCCTTCTCCTCAAGGCTGCCCTCAATCCAGTCTTCTGCTGGGCTGTATTTGTGCTTGGTATTGCCCCAACCCGGGTGCAGGACCTTGCACTTCACTTAGTTGAGCTTCATGGGGTTTGCACAGGCCCACTTCTCAAACCTCTCCATGTCCCTCTGGATGGCATCCCCACCCTCCAGTGTGTTCACTGCACCACACTGCTTAGTGTCATCAGCAAATTTGCTGAGGGCGCACTCAATCCCACTGTTCAAGTCACTAAGATGTTGAACAGGATCAGTCCCAACACTGACCCCTGAGGGACACCACTTGTTACCCATCTCCAGTTGAACATTGAGCCTTTAACCACAACTCTTTGATGCAACCATCCAGCCAAGTCCTTGTCCACTCAGTGGATAACATCTTCTTGTCCTACTTACTGTGCTGAGACTTTGAATGCTTGCTCAAAAGTAAGAAAGAATAGTTTTTTCCTAGAATCCTTTTTCTTTATGAAGATTTGCTAGACTATTGTATATGGCATGTCTGAGATTGTTTGCTTCATCACATGGTCCTGAGAACAAAAGCATCCATACCTGTTCAAAACCATCCAATATGTGGATGTAATATGGTCATCTAATATTTGTGGTGTTGAGCCATTTCAACATGTTGGCTCGATAAAAGCCAGGTAGGATTGTGAGTACTAAATGCATGCAGGTTGATACCCCGGAAGGCAGAAATACCAGAACACCACCACTTCACTTCCTGTCCAAGGAATGGAATATTTGCATCAGTGGAGTACGTGTATTTTTGTAAATTATGAAATAATGAATTGTTGGCCTGAAGGGTAGTTTCCACTCCTCAAATTCAGGCAGTCTTGAGAAACAAAACTTTAAGATTTTTATGCAGTTCAAACTCAGCTATTAATCCAACAGCTCAATGGAGATGTTGATGAAAGTCTGATTAAACACAACTTTCTGTTTAATTATTGAGTTTCTTTTGCCTTTAGCTATTTATAATGTGCCTTATCCAATTGATTACGGTATTTCAAGATTTTCCTAATATCTGTGTAGTGCTTTCAAATCCTCAAAATCCATGTATTTGTCTAAGATACATTATAACTTTGTCTCACACATTTTTGCTATTACAGCTACAACAACAAAGTATGTTCAGATGCTCTGCTACTGTGCTCTGTCGGACATAGACATGGAACCTACAACAGCTAAGAATAAATAGACCTGCCTTGACATTGAGAGTTGTGCCTTGACATTTCCTATCTGGACTAATTTTTATCTTCTGAAGGTCTCCCCATGTGTTCAGTTATACTAAATCACTAACCACTGTACTATGCATCAGTTTGATGCCCATTAATTTGTGCTTGTTTTATAAACCACTCTGTTTTACAGGATGTTTAAAAAAAAACTGTTAATAGTCACTTATCATGTAATACTTTGAAACTATACAGCACTGTATGAACAAACATTTAGCAGCAGATAAGTGCTAGATAGTACGTTAAGCGCAAAATCATAAGAAAAAGTATTAGGTCTCGTCACGATCCTAACAAATAGATAAATTTAACAAAACACAGACTATATGTTTGCAAGATTCAGAACCTGAGTTAGGAAGTAGAAGCCACAGTGTACTTCTAAAGATATCATTAAATACTGGAAAATGGAAAAATTTCATAATTCAAGCGGGTAGACATGCTTTAAGTCAACGTATTATTAGTGTTAAACTATTCTAATGTATAATTCCTTGTATACAGAGTTTACCAAAAGGATAAAACCAAAGTTTTTGGTCATTGAAATTCTGTGAGAAATCCTTGTTTGATGATCTCCCACATTCATTACCCTTTTGCAGAAGTGGCATTTTGAACAAACAAATTATACCACAGTAACTGAAGCACTTTTGCTTTCCAGGAGAACAACCTGTCATGGAAAACTGTAAGTGACTGAATCATGTTCCAGCTAGTGTATATTCAGGGAAATCACCTTTTCATAGTGTCCACTGCTTGCCTAGAAGTATCAAAGGTATGACCCCATGAATGTACTGATTTTTTCCAGAGTGAAACTTATTGATGGAATTCACAAAGTAAAATTAAAAACTATTGATGTTTACAAAATCCCTTGAGCCCCTGCCCAACCCTTTCAGGCCTTACCAGCTCCTGCTGGCAAAGTAACCTTCAGGTCTCCTACTGAGCATGCAAAGAGCCTCCAGCACTGGCTGCTAGGTCTTTTTGTCACCTAAGTGCCTGTTGCCCAACACCCAGCACAGGCACGTGCACTGGACAAGTGCACCCACCAGTGGGTGCCGTGGAAGAAAAAGGCAGTTAAAAACTAGGATCGAACTCTTGAACCCTGAGTTTTTCAGTGTGGCACACAAGAATGTGCAGTGAGTCCTAATTCTTAGTGCCCTGAAATGGAAGAGACAATAACTGTCATTTAAAAAAGCCATCAGCCCTGCAACCTAGACCATTAAAAAACAGCCACTCCAGCTCTAATATGGTTTGCTGATATGTAGTAGTGTTTGTTATCCTTGTTGGTAAGGTGTACTTCCTTTCTGTAATTATATTTGAGTATAGCATACATTGTTTCTAATTTGAATTTCAACATTCCTATTCAATTAACACCAATTAATGTAATTTAATCTTGTACAAGTCCCTGTAGCTTCTAGCATTATTGTCTTTTACTGATGTCTGCCCAGAAAAGGAGCAATGGAATAAGTAATCGTTGCTACTTAAACCTCCCTTAATTTCTTCCCTATTTTGCAAAGTCATTTCCAGGATTGTAATTTCATGCATCTCCAACGCAGTGGTTGCTGACAGGGCATTTCAATGTCATCTGCTGTAGCAGTTTCCTTTCAGTGGGGTTTTCTTTTGACCCAAAATATGAACAATAAAAATGCACTAAATTAAGCTAAACATGAAGATATCAGAGAAGCATGCTTTGCTTTTTGAAAGCCACCGCTTTCAAGCTCTAAAATCACTTCAGTATCATAATCACAAAACAAAAAGAGGAAAGAAACCTAGGGTGTAGTTTAATTTGCCCAAATAAGAACATCTGCATGTACTCCACCCACATACCACATGCCTTTTACAGTAAAGCACCATTTTGATCCTGCTCTATGACTGTACAGAAATACTGCCTTTTTGCCCCATCTCTCACAAAGCACTAGTTAACAACAGAGCCACAGTCCCAGACTGTATCAGGGCACGAAGAGTACAAACCCTGCAAGTCAGTACCAAAATAAACATGACAGTCTTTGCCTCCACAGAATTCAAAATCATGCTTGGTGCTGAGCTGTGTGTCACACCAAGACAGCACAGTATCATCCTCTGAAGCTCTTCCTTGCAGGACCAAAGTTCCTAAGTGATTAGTATAATAAGGGCTACAGACAAAGACCATTTCCATAGAGAATTGTGAGCTAAGCAACTTCTTTCTTTCTCTGTTTTTTTTTTTTTCTTGCTAAAATCTGTTTTTGCATGAATCTATTAACTCTCTGGGCATGATACACAACTCATTCATTTTCTTTCTTTTTGGACAGGAGGAAAGTAGTGGTCAGATGCAAGGCTATAAATATAAATAACTTTATTGAAATTCTCTATGGAATGAGAAATGTTAATGTGTTTGTTGATTTTTTCACTCCTTACAAATAATACCTGTAAGTTGTCAAATATCTAAAGCAAGTCATAGCTGCTGAAGTGTTTAAATAAATTAACATTTGATCCTACAAATGCTGTAGTTGTGTGGTTTTAAAACATCAAAATAGTACTGTGAATGCAATTAGCCCTGCCTTACCTTTGCAAGTTGGTTTGCCAGGAGAGGAATGAGAATATAACTAACTCTTATATTTATTCTCTGTAACACAACAAAATAAGCATTTGTGGAAGGAAAAGTTTCTAGTTATTCCAGGTGGGACTCTTTCTCACTGCGGTTACGAGCAATTCTTTACCCAAACACTTTCTGTTTGGCTAAACACATTTTTTCACATTATTTATGGATGCTCAATCATGCAGTCAAACAATAAACAGTTTTACTTTTTCAGAGGCGTTTTTGGCATCCATGCTAAGTATCTCGACATTACATAACAAAACGTTAGAGGAGGCTGTTAGAGGACACCTAGTTTGCCAGCTGGCATCTCCATGGTGGAAGGGAGTGGGGTATGGATAACGCTGGAAGCCTTTGGAAGACTGAGACTGTGGAAGTGCAGGCTGCACTGCAATGTGTAATGGGAGCCTGGCAGGAGGCAAGGACAAGAGACCATGGAGAACAGCCCACATGCAGAACTGGGGGAGGGTCTTTCAGGACCAAGAGCTGGGGCAATATGGTACTTGGGCTTCGCACTAGCTCTTTTTTAGGAATCAAGAAAATACAGAAGTCTTGATTTTTATGAAGAATCACAGTTTTTTGAATAAAAACCGAATAACTGGTATCAAGATTTCCATTTCTGTGTCAGTAAACAGAAGCTGGCACTGAAAGAGGAAAGACTAGCAGCCACAGAAAATTTGAATCTGTCTGGGTTTTGTATGAGCCAGAAGAACCGTAAGGGCTGTTTGTGCTCCCTGGCTATAGAGGTAAAGAAGCACCTTCACACATTTGGTAGGAGGAGGATACTGAAGTATTGAAACAGCTCTGAGAGATGTAGCACATGACACTGTGCCGGGTCACAGCTCTGCTACAGGACAAAGTGCCTTTGCCACACTTGTGACTTGAAACTGAATATACTTCCTAAATACTTCCTCTTGAAATTTACTTTCATTGTTTAAGAGGAACTTTAGAAGTATTATTGCACAGTCTTTGAATCTGTAGTACTAGATCTATCAAGTCCGTGTTCTTTCAGCTGATAAGCTACCACATTTTGTAAATCTTTCTTTTTTTTCTTTTTCTGCAGGATTTATTTTTGACTCATGAGGACTGGCAGCAAAGCAACTATGTGAAGTGCTACAAGTTTACAACGGCTCAAAAGCTCTAAAGTCATTTATTTATTTATTTATTGCCAAGGGCAAATGAGGAAAATAAAATGCAAGCCTAAAGAAGATGCTGCACAGTAAAGGCAGAAGAACTTCTTTGTACATCAGGAGCCTGGGTTATAAGCACAAGGAATTAGAAACACTTCTTTGGGAACACACATTTAATGTAATTGATGTCACTGAAAAACATGAAAGAAGAGTAGGCTACTGAAATGTCTGGTTGTTAACTACCTAGAAAGGTCCATATTAGAGGCAAAGGAAGGGAGAGGAATCTGGTTTACATCACCATGGTTTTAAAACAGGAGGAGTCAACATTAAAGCAAATGTTCATAAGTCAAGCCTCTTCGAACAGAAAGAATAAATGAGAATTAACCAGTTGATGCAATAAAAAACACAGTAAAAATTAGTAGGTGTTTAAAGAGCTGATCACCAAAAATGTGCTGCCTGGCAAGTGATGGAACTGAATACATTTCAGCATACAAATAGAACAAAGATTAATTCAGCAATATATTTACATAGTGCTCAGAAATGTCCATTTTACAGAGCCAAACCAACCGTGAGCCACACCTGGTGGAGGGAGAACAAAGAGAGTTTAAACTGGAAATAAACTTCCTTGGGGCTGTGTAAGAACCTACATGCAGAAACCAGAAAAAAAAGAAAGGAACATGCAACTGCTTTAAAACTGTAATAAAGCCTTCCTCTTTAGAGAGGAAATGCAAAGAGGCAGTGAAATAGAAGAAAGACAATTTTAATGGTAATGACCAGAATTTCAAGGACAAGCTGCTGAACACAACATCTGACCCCTTTAGATGTGCTTCTACAATACCACAAAAGAACTTCAGAAGCTGGTGGCAACAACATAGTGCCCAGGTGAAAATACGCTCATTATGGTGATGTTACCTTATTTCTGATTAGCCATTGCTTTTTCCCATACCACGCCACCACATAAGGACACCTGCAAATTAAAGTACCTTTCACTTGCTATTTTAGGAGAAATGTCTTGTCTGTTTCAGCGAGTGTGCAGTCATTGAAACAGAATTCAGTTTTCAGTGGAATTACATTTGACACCACGAGAGGGAGAACGCCTTTGCTTGATGCTCTCAGGAAGGAAAGGCAGACAGCAGTTTTGTGACCTGCTCAGAACAGAATCAGACCGGTATGTGTGTTCTTGCCCATACCAAAAGTCCTAAGAAGGACAGGCTTAGGTCCAGCAAAGAGTGGCAGCTGCATGTTCTGAATAATGCTTTAAAACAGCCTGCTGCAAATTCAAATGAAGATGAAGTCACAGTTCAAACATTCCTCTTTCTTTACAGGATTGCCCTCGTATCTGGAGCAGAAAACAAGAGTTTATCATCCTGGCTGTTTCCAGTATGTAACAGCATATATGAGTACCTAAGTCAAAGGGATTATGAACATCCTTTTCAGAACTTCCACATTAAGCATGAATAATAAGCTAATAATATCTAATAGATAATAAATTAGTTATTGTATGGAAATGAAAAAAAAAAAAGGAGTTCCCCACCCTCATATTTCCCATTTTTCTTCTTTATTTTTTCTCTCAGATAAAACTTATGAAATCGACACTTCCCTCTGATATTTGGTAGTGAAGAGCTACTTATAAAGACACCCTTTGGAAAATACAGTGCTTAGGTCAAATCAGTTGCCTGTTGACCTCCTGCTCAGTATGACGTAAGTACATGGGCAGCTATGGCCTTTGTTCTCTCTCTCTCTCTGTTATTTCTTCATGTCACACTGTTGAATTCACTTCTGCTTTAACTGCTTTTTAGTGTAATCCCTTAGCTCTGCCCACTTCGTGTAATACCAGGCCATCGTTGCCTTTCATCTCAGCTTATGATATCCATCTGCTGCCGGTAATTCTCTTGACACATTAAGGTACTCTGAATTATCTCCTGCCAGTAATAGCTGCAAGTGAGTAATATGCACAGAGTAGACAAGATCTCTATAAGCAGATGCCAGCAAAAGGTAGCAAGTGAAGAAAAGCATGTAGGTTTCATATTCCTTTCTTCATTTTACTTATTTTTTCCCTCAGAGCATGTGCATTTGTTGCAGTTCTTGCCACAAATCCAGACAGTAAAGAGACTATATTGGCCCATATATCTCATCTGTTCATTCCCCAAAACATGTTAAGTAGTAGGAGACTTGACAATGTTCCCGCTTACCATTCATGCCCTCGTTTGTCAGCTGAGCACAGAAACAGCCCTGTTTGCCAAGCTTGCTAGGCTTGGCTAACAGCGTGGTGGCACTTGGGTCATGATAGTATCACCTTACACCTTGCACTGCATGAGCTTTGCCTCTTCCTCCTTCTGTGGGACACACATTTAGCCAGTACTTTTGGGACCTGCTGCCATCTGAGGAAGAGGTAACTGATGCTGAAGTATTCCAGTTGACCCAAAATGTACCTCCTCACCTTCTGCATGATCTTAGCTACAAGCACATCAGCCCTGGCTTCAGATATTATATTGGCTCCTATTTAGCAACAGATGCTAGTGAGCAGGACTTATCCCTAACATCCATTGTAATTAATAGATCAAATTGAAGATACGCTAAATATTGAATTGAGACCTACGAGTCACTAAGGTGTTTCTGCTTTTCTGGAACAGTGCAGATTACCAGACTTCATGTGTGTTATGGTGCAAAAGAAGTAATCAAACTTTCTAAAAGCTTTGATGTCTATATAATCCAATTCTTGTTCCAGGTAAGAATTTGGCTGTACAACAAACTTTCAGAGACCACTGGACCACCACCTGAGTCTGACCAGCCTTAGATGTTGCTGTAAACCTCCTCTTTTGGTGGGTCCCACGAGCAGCAAAGAATGAGGAAATAAAACCTCTCTAGATTAAAAAGAATAAAGATTTTTATTCTGTTCAGCAAACAGCAATTATTTTCTTTCACAATAAAATGCTGAAAAAAGAAAATTAACTGAGTGCCTTGCACACTCAAGGCATAGGTTTATTTCTCCAAAAGACAGGGCACTAGAAATCAGGTAAGACTGAATTGCCCAGAAGAGGTTCAGGGAAGCACAAGGAGAAATGTGGCCATGATTTTACTCCCTCTCCTCTGTTAAGACTGACTTGTCCTACAATTTATCAAGACAAACAAGGCAACATTTTGCCTTTGAATGCAGAAAACATTAACTTTCACAAAGAGCTTCACAAGTAATCTAGCTGCTGACTGGGGACTAGTCATGGAGTAAATGACTGCTGAAACAGGTTTAAAATGATTAGGAGTGTGTGGCAGAGAAAAGGATTAGGAAACTATTTCTTTTTGCTATAAGGCATTTCATGAGCTGCCTATATGAAGTATCTGGTTTATTGAGTAATTACAAGAAGTATAGTACTATAGTATTGAATGCAACCTGCAAATAAACAGCATGAAAACTGCTAAAAATCATGCTGGCTTTAACTGCAACTATTCCAGCCTTCTTCAGTTATGTATACTCTCAAGGCAACACTATTTTGGGTTAGGGGTGAATGTGTTAACTGATCCTCATGTATCAATACGGCAAGATTTGCTCAGACCAATTCACAGTGGATGAAAAGTATTACAGTCAGTGAACATATGTAACTAACATTATCTGTGGAATTATCCATCTTTCCTTTTTTATTTTACAAAGAAAATGGGCTTTTTCTGAAGTCTTTCTGTGTTTATTAACTTACTTTCTGATTGACTGTAATAAAAGGAGAGTAAACAGCCGAGCACCTCTCTCAGGGTTTGGGCTTTTGTTACAGGCTGAGTGATTGTCACTGGTCTGTCACTCTCCCCAGTGGCACAGTCCTACCACTACATCTAAAGTGCTGGTGCTCTCTGACATGTCAGACATGTCGGAGGAGTGAACTGTGACACAGACATGGTCACTAGGAAATAATTAGCTGGAAATGATTTCTCTGCGTGAAGTAGGGTCAGGATATACTTTTTTCCCCTTTAGTGCACCATAGAGGAAATGCTGTGCTCTGGCTAATTACAGGCACCAGAGCAGCCCTGCAGTGCTACGACCTTTCAAGAATAAATGACAATGGCGTGAGCAGAGGGGGAATAGCTGAGTAGACCAGGCAGCACCTGTGCTGAGGATATGAAGGTGGGCACAAGCAGCCTTCTGCACAAATCAGACACTCAGCATCCTAGAGCCAGAACAGGAATACCCACACTCTGACGCTTACCAGAATAGAAATAATTCTAATTAACTCCTGCATTTGATAGACTGGAGGCTGACAGTCCTTAGGTGAACTATGTGATTGGGCTGTTCAGCTCTAAGACAGTCGGCAGGGCTGGGCAGCACACTGCGAGGGGAACAAGGAAGGACAGCAGTACTTTGTTAACAGCACTCTCTTAGTTCATGGTTCAAAATGCAGAAATCAGGGTCTCAAGTTAATAGAACAAACCAAACCCACAAGATCTGAAAGAGCAGAGCAGTGTTGAATTCTTTTCTGTCAGGCCTTTTAGATTCTCTGTTTAGTTGCATTTTTAACCTTCCTCTGCAATAATGGTGCATGGAAAGGGCATTTGTTTGAGGAGGTTTATTCTTTTATTAGTTACTTTTTGGTTTTAAAAGGACAGAGTACTACAGAATCAAAAGAGTCAAGTTATGGTTTAACCGAAACCATGGAACAGTTTAAAGTGAGGAATACAATTAACAGATTTTAACAATTACATTTACTGTGAAAGCCAGAAATGAGGGCAATCAGCATGCAGCTGTGGTTATGCTGCAGTTCCAGGTCTGGCCGATGTGCCAGTTCTGGCTGTACCTTCTCAGCATTGCCCTTCATTCACCTTATTAAAGTCCTTCCAAATGTTGTTACAGGAGTGCAGACAGCTGATGTGGAACCAGGGAAGAAACCAGAAATGGTTGTCCAAGGACAACATCAACCTTTCTGCAGCAGCTAGCAGAAAACACAAAGATTTAAGAAAGCCATACACCTGTTTTTTTCCCTTTTCCCTTCCTATACCAATGGTTTACATCTTCTTTTCAATTTTATCCCTTGTTTTTTCCCCTACTCTTCCTTTCTTTACCATTTCACTGCCATAATTAGATGCACTTGAGAGTGATTTTACCTTACACAACAGTATGAAGGACTGCAATTTCTTTTCATTTCCTCCTTTTTCCCCTCCTCCCCCTCAGAACTTGCTTTAATGACTTGTCCTAATTAGGTTTGAACAAATTCTTTATAATGTTTCCAGATTTTCTGTGGTGTGATCAATTAACCTGCAAATTATAATTGCAGGTTTGGTACACATGCAGACTGATTATTATAATCGGTACCTGCTACTTCCTTTTTTAGTTGTCATTATAGCTTCACATGCAAGGAAGCTAACAGTTCAATTTTAGGAATAAACAGGATACACTGTCCTAAAAGGAACCGTGTTTGTCTTCCAAATGCCTATTGCTTTCATATAATGTCTTTAACTTTTACAAAGAGAATCTGCCGAGTGTTATCTGGGTAAGTGTGGTGAGAATTAGACCACAGTCTGAAATAAAACCAATACTTCTGAGCATATTAGAAATTAACTAAAAATAAAAATAATGTTTGTGGGGTCAAAATTATTTATTCTAGCTGAAAAATTGACCAAAGGTATTTTCAAGAGGCAGTTCTGCCTCACAATGCATTAGTAATTCTAGTCCTCTTCCCTGGAAAGGTGGCACAGGCTTCTTTGCACTAACTTAACTTGCAGCATCTCATTTAATGAAGAGAGCCATTTGAGACCTGAGGCAATGATTTTGTAGGAACGCCCTGCAACACAGGTAAAATTTGAAACTAATTGATCTGAGTTTGCTGTAGGAAGGAAAGGGTGAGCAGAAAAGTGAAAGAAGGCTCTAGAACAGTCAAAATAGGCTCCAAAAGCCTGTGGGTTGTGCTTAGGAAAGTGCATAAACCCTGGATATATATGTGGGCTCCTCGGCCCTCCAAGGCTGTTTGACAAACACCATGAAAAACTGCTACTTCCTTTTCAGAAAGATCATGCTTCTGTAAAAAGTTTCAGACTTGAAAAATAAATCTAATACTCTTCACAGAACTTGGTTAAAGTTTTAATTGGTGACCATTTAAATTCTTTCATTCACTCTGAACTCAGATAAAAGGGTAGAAAAAAAGTTACTGAATTAGAAAATTATTTTAAGCTATGGTATTTCTTAATTATCAGCACATCATAAATGATGGGTAAAATTAGAACCACATTTTCATCTGCTGTTAATGGCAGAAGTTAATACAAATTGACACTGCTCTATTGCCACTTAATGGTCTATATAACCAAGACATGAGGAAGTAATTTACAATAGTTTTTATTTTTGTCTTTGCTTGCAGCATCTCTTCTGAATATAACATTTTGTTCCCAATAGCATGTAGAAACCAGCTTAAAGGTTTTAAAAGGTTATTGAGTTAGTAGTCTGTGCCTGTAGTCCTTTATTGACCTAAGTCAATAGTCAGTAGATCTCTTGCTCTGATTTATTTCTGAACTTTTTTCTTTATCAGACCTGACATCTTGCTCTGCATTCTCATTCCTGAGAATATTTCTGTGGTTTATATTTCTTTCTGTATTCAGAAAAACACAGCCCTCACCAACATATTGTTTCCAGCAGCAGGATTCTATTACTTAGTTTGGTGCAGGCTTTATTCAGATGGGGCTTTTCCTGCATACTGCTATTGAGAAAGGCAGTTAATCCAACTGGTGAAACAGTTCTTGGTACCAGGACTAGCTCTGCTCTATGGCTATTTTATGTAGTGTATTCCCAGGCTAGTATAGCTTTCTCAGCGCAGTTATAGCAGGGACATTCTGCAACTCATCCAGCAGAGTCCAGCAAAGCAGTACTATTTTCTCCCTTCTACACTTCCTTTTCCCTCCCATCCTAGGGAGATTGCAAGAAAACTTCTTTACCTGTTTTCCCTTTTCTTTTAATTAGCTGTCACACTATTCTCTCTCTTGCCGTACTTCAGCCTCCCTTCTCCCTTTTACCCCGTCTTTTTTATAAGCTCTGTGGTATGTGGAATTGTCCTGTTCAGTGCTTGCACAACGTATTGCACTTGTGATTGCTGGTGATTGTTGCAAGGCTATTGTTTATAATGCATACAGTCATCCTAAGCTATTTGCAAGTTCAGAAGCTCCCTATTTTACTTCATATCCATAAACTTTCAGCTCTAGCTGACTGTTGCTGTGACCATGACTTCACACCACAGAAATAACAAATCATCCCAACGGAGCAAACTGTTTCCACTGGTGATTTGCTAGTTTTAAAGGATAGAGACCCTGTTGCATCACAGAATTTGTCTAGATCATCTAGATTAATTTAAAGCTGTAATACTATAGCCATTGCCAACCCTTTCATAACATGTAACGTTAAAACAGTAAAAATCTGAGTAGGACGCAAGGTCTGCTGAAAAGTTTATTTTAGTTGTTATCTAAGGGGCAGCCACTTCCCAGGAACATCCCAGAAAACCTTCAGTGATACTGGGGAAGGGGCTTTCCCACAACCACCGCCACTGAGTGGAAAGTTCCCTTTGTAACCCAGGAGCACCACTGCTGGAACCAGATGAAAGGCAAGCGATGGCAGCTTCGAGAGAACTGGGCAGGGAAAGCCCAGCTGCCTGGGGTGAAGGAGATACTGGGCTAGCAGGTCCCCCACAAGTGAGCCACACGGCCACACCAGCCCTTGTGGGAAATAGGTGGCTGACCCAGATGAGAAAAGCTGTGTTATTTACATGTTATCTACACTGCAAGAAGAGCAATGTTATTTGAAATTAATCAAAATACAAATGAATGAAGCCATACTTGTGCCAATAAATGGTAAAAAATGGCTAAGAAAGGCCCGATATTCACACATCCACAATACAGTTTCCTTCAGAAAGAAGTAGGCTGCTAGGTCATGGAGCTTGGTTTTCTGATCGCACTGACACTGGCTTACTCAACTAATTAAAATCCTCATTAG